TCTGCACAATGCGCGTGCTGTGGATATGAAAGAGGGGCCTTGGCTGACCTCTGTAGCCAGGTGCTGTCAAACCATTAGCCGGGACATATTGGCCCGACGCCAGAGCCATGGCCAGCGAGCAGCTACGTCCGATGGGGGCGGCCGAGGATCCGAAGATCGCCTTGCCGTCGTGGCGCAGCCAGTCCATCACCAGCGGAGGCGGCAACGGCAGCGGCAAGAAGGACGGAGACGCGATGCCCCAGAAGCATAATCCCGCAAAGTGCGACGTCACGCTGCCAGCGGTGAAGCTCGCCCCGAAGGACATCGCCGACTTGGGCGCTCTCCTTTATGCGAAATTCGAGTTTCCAGTCGCCGTCGAGGTTGCCGCGGCCAGTCAGACGGCGGGCAAGAGGTGCAACGAGGGTTCGGCCGCGCTCGAGCCCAAGGAAAAGGCAGGGGAGCGCGGACCACAGGGCAAGGGGCGCGGCCCGCGCCCAGAAATACATGGCGGCATTCGGCCACGGAGCTGCGCAGGCGCAAACGGCGGGCGCGTCGCGGCAGGAAGAGGCCAAGCACGTTGCCGAGGTGCTCCAGTTTTTCAGCGAGGTGATCGGCAAGTACGAGGCGGCGAACGAGGTCAGCCAGCTGATCGGGCACTGCAGGGTGAACGTGCGCAAGATGGAAGGGGGATCGACGCCGATGCGCACGCCGACGCGGCGCGCGGACCCGCGTCGCGCCCGCGGGGGCGCGATGCAGCGGCGGCTCGCCAAGCTCGCAGTTCGAGGGCGGGAAGGGGTTGGTCGGAGCTCCACCTCGCGGGCCCTTGGAGAGGGCGCCCAGCAGGTGCCTCGGGGGCCGCGGCGGCGGCGGCGAGAAGGCATGAGGCTCTCGGCGGACTTGCGCGCGAGCTCGGGCCTGGCCGAGCTGCTGGCCAGAGGGTTCTCCCTCCCGCCTGCCCCCTTTCCGCCCCCGCTCCTCCGCCTCCGCCCCGCAGTCAGAGCGCGCGGCAGTTCGCCCCCGGGCGCTTTTCGATGTTTTGGAAGGGCCCCCGACGATGCACGCCCCGAGGATGCAGCGCCGCCGCAGGGGGGGCAGGGGAAAGAACTGTCGCTCGAGTGATAAAGGTACCAGATCAGGCAGGAGCCCGCGTTCCCAGGGCCAGCCGAGCCTTCAGAGCGTTGCGTGCATCGGGCTCGCGATGGCGAGGCCCGCGCGGCATCTGGCCGGGTGCGGGCCGCATGTTTCAGCAGCTTACGTCGGTTGCGTAGGATAAGCTTCCTCGGATTGCAACGTCGAGGGCAGTTGCGAAGTCTCGCTCGCACGTCAAGATGCAGCGCGGTCAGCGCCCTCCTTCGAACATGGCCCCCGCGAGCAAGAAAGAAAGAAAGCCGGTCTCGGCCGTGGGCCTCTTGAGAGCCCCATCGGGCGATCTTCTGACCACACTGGGCCAACTTGGAACCCGCTCTCGGGGGTCTCTTGGGCTGTCTTAGAGATATATTGGAGGCATTTTGGCCCGTCTTGGACGGTCGGAAACCCGCGCAGGCGACGACCTCAAAATTTCAAGCACACCAGGACAATCAATAGTTTTGGCCTCCTTGACTCTGCAGGAGGGCCTTTTGGAGCTATCTTGGGCCATCTTGGGGCAACTTGATCTGTCTTGGCGCGTTCCTGGGGGCCTCTTGAGCCGTCTCGGGCCTTCCTGGCGTCACCTTGGCTACCTTGGAAACCGTCCTGGGGGCCATGGGCCCTCCATGAGGCCCGAGGAGGCCAACGCCATTGATTGTCATTCGAGTTATTTGATGGATGTGCAGGTCCTCACAAATTTAGGTGTCGGACCGCCAAAGACAAACCAAGAGGTATTTCTGGCCCGTCCTGTTGCTCGTTTGGGGCGCCTCAAGGCCGTCTTGGAGCCCTCTCGTGTGTCCCTTGGGCGCTCTTTGGGTCCTATTGGGCGGACTGGAGGCCTTCTTGGGGACCTCTTGGGTTGCCTTGGAGCCCTCGTGGATGCCCCTTGTGCCGGATTGGGCGGTCGGAAGCCCGAACACGCGAGAGTTTCAATTCTTTCAACAACCCAGGGGATATCAATGAAAATGACCCATCCAGGAAGGCTTCTTGGAATTTTGTGGGCCGTCTTCGGGGCCTCTTGGACCGTCCTGCAGCCCTCTTAGGGGTCGCTTGGGCCGTCTTGATGCTGTCTTGAGATGCTCTTGAGCTGTTCTCGGCCATCTTGAGCTGGTTTGTTGTCGTTTTCGCTGTCTTGGAAACCGTCTTGGAGGCTATCTTGGCCGTGTGGATGCCGGAAAAAATACCAGGTCGCAACTTCGTGAGGGGGGTGTTTTTGAAACCCCGCGCGCGCGATACAGGGGGGGTGCGGCCCTAGACATTATTTATTTTTATAAAGATAGACCAGAGTGACGGCAGGAGCATTCTGACACGCCCGCTCCGCGCAGGCACGGTGGCAGGACGACTTCCGCAACGACGAGGGTCAGGACGCCTCGACACGCTGTGGTCGAACGTGTGCTGGATTGTGGGTCCGAATCATCAGGGATGTTTCTTGGCGTCTGTTTGGGGCACTCTCTCGGGGGCTTCTGGGGGACAGTTTTGTGGCCTCTCGGGGGCCTCTTGGGGGCCTCTTGGGTGTTCCTGGTGGCCTTTTCGGGGCCTCTGGGGGCCTCCTGGGGGCTTCCTGGGGCTCCTGGAGGCGTGGTCCTCCTCTTGGGGCCGTCTGGGGGGCCTCTTGGGCAGTTTCGGAGGCCTCTCAAGCCGTCTTGGGGGCCTCCTGGGCCAGGATGCCTATTATTGGGCCCTCTTGGGCGCCCCGTGGGCCGTCTTGGGGCGCCGGCAAGCCAATGTTGCTTCTTGGCGCCTTCTTGGGAGGCCTTTTGCAGGCCTCTTAGGGCGCCTTGGACGCCTCTTTGGCCGTCTGGAGGCCATCTCGGGCGTCTCGCACCGATTGTTCGGGGACTGCGGGCCCTTTCGGACCGTCTTAGGGGCCTCTTGGGGCCCTCTTAGCCCGTCTGGCTCTCTAGGGCCAGAAAAAGTCATGCGACAAGACGCGACCCGCTCCAGGAGATTTGGCCCGTTTGGGCCCAGATCCTTTAAGAGCCTTTAATCCAGGCGACTGAGGGCGACAAGAAGGGACCTGAGGGCACGCCCACTCCCTGCTTCAGGGAAGGGTGGCGAACTTTTACACAGACGTGCATACATATGTGATCCAGGGCTCTGCCCCCCTCCCCAGGCTGATGCCTTCGCCCCCCCCCTCCCCCGCGCGATGAGTACCCCCCACCCTTTGGCGTGGGGTGGCGGGGGTTGCCCCCGTGGGCCCGCAAGTCCTCACCCCGCCGCCGCGGCCCTGGCGTGCGTCGTGCGCTCTCTGTCTGTCCTCCTCCTCCCCCTCCCCCTCCTCCTCCTCCTCCTCCTCCTCCTCCTCCTCCTCCTCCTCCTCCTCATCATCATCATCATCATCATCCTGCTCCTCCTCCTCCTCCTCCTCCTTCTCCTCATCCTCTACGGCTCAGTTGTCTCCGTCTTGACCTACCTCTCCCAGCTGCTCCCCATGCCGGAAGACCTTATCAGAGGCGAGCTGGACGTTTTGCATCGCATTTTGAAGGCCCCGCCGAAGTCCTTCGCATTGACTGACCTGCTCTGCATGCGCACCTGGGCGCCTGGACCCGCGCTTGCCGCGCTGCTGCCGACTGCTTGGGCTGCCGCGTGGCGCACGGCCAACGCAACGCTCTCGGGATGGAGGGCCTTCGCGGACGCGTGGCTCGAGCGTGCGTGGGACGTCCTCCCAGCCTCTGTGGTCATCTCCGGCTGTTGGGCGGCGCCGTTCTGGGCCCAGACCGAGTCCATGCTGCAGTACTTCATGTCGGTGGACACAGGCGCGATCACTGCGCCCAGCGCGCGGCTGCAGCGGCGCCGGAGGGCAGCCCTGTGCGCGGCCAACGCTGCGGCGCGGTGCGAGCTCGGCGCGGCTGCAGGCCGTCGCCGCCAGCCCCGCCTGCAGCGAACGCACGCAGAAGCCGCCGCCCAGGTGCTCGTCCAGGAAGCCTTCCACGCCACCATTCGCCGCCGCCTCCAGGCTTGGTGGCCAGACCAGGCGGTCCCTGCCGACCTCCGCCAGAGGTGGCTTCGCCTCAAAGACCAGCTCGCGATTGCGGCCCTGGGCACGTGCTGGGCGACCCTGCGCACCCTTGCCGGCGCTTGGCCAACGTCTCACAGGATGCGCGTGGGCTATTTTCGCTTGGCGTGCCGCTGGTGTTGCGAGGATGGCTTGGATTAGATTTCGCACCACCTGCAGTGCCGTGGTGCATGGTGGTGTGTGTGTGTGCGTCGCTTCGCGCACCATCGCCCACGAGCGCCCTCTGCATCGACTCGGCCTGGGCACGGCGGAGGACTACGCAGCGGATCCGCAAGGCGAAAACGGCCTCCCCAGGACCATCGCCCGCATTGCGACCTTGTACAACACGTGCAACATGATGCGGCAACGCCCTGGCCCGCTGCAGCCAGGCCCGGAAGTGGCCCAGGCGCTGGCGCGCGTTGCTGCCCACCGTGTGCGGGTTCCTCCGCTTTGCGTGGCCGTGCGGCCGCCACCCGCAAGCAGTACTCCAAGTTCTACACCCACTCTGAGCGGCCCGGCGCGTCGCCGATGAGCTCGTGCACCATGCGGTGGTACGGGCGCTCCTCCTCCTCCTCCTCCTCCTCCTCCTCCTCCTCCTCCTCATCTTCCTCCTCCTCCTCCTCCTCCTCCTCCTCCTCCTCCTCCTCCTCTCCTCCTCCTCCTCCCCCCCTCCTCCTCCCCCCCCTCCTCCTCCTCCTCCTCCCTCCCTCCTCCTCCTCCCCTCTCCTCATCCTCCTCCTCCTCCTCCCCCTCCTACTCTTCCTCCTCCTCCTCCTCCTCCCTCCTCCTCCTCCTCCTCCTCCTCCTCCTCCTCCTCCTCCTCCTCCTCCTCAAGGCTCGCCCCCCCTCCCCCCCAGGGCAGTAAGGAGCTCCCTCCCGCCGCCGCCGCCCGCACCGCCAGGCGCCGCCCCGCCGCCGCGGCCCACGGCGCCGCCGCCTGCACAGGAGGAGCCCGACGCCGAGCCCTCGCCGCCGCCGGCCGCCCCGCCGCCTGTGGCGGAGGCGGCCGACCTACGGCTAGGGGCCGACGACGGGGGGAAGACCTATGGCCAGGGGGGAAGACGGCGACGATTCTTGGAGTTCATGGCCGGAGGCGGCCGACCTCAGCCGGAGGCGGCCGACCTATGGCCAGGGGGTGACGACGGCGACGACGCCGACGCCGACGCCGACGCCGACGCCGACGCCGACGCCGACGCCGACGCCGACGCCGACGCCGACGCCGACGCCGCCGCCGCCGCCGCCGCCGCCGACGACGACGACGACGACGGCGACGGCGACGGCGACGGCGACGGCGACGACGGCGACGACGACGACGACGACGATGGCGACAACGATGACGGCGGCGGCAACGGCGATCACGACGGCGACGGCGACCCAGCGAGTCGGTCGCCGAGGCTTGAGGGTCTAAGTGTTCGGGCACTGCTCCTTTGCGCCTGGGTGTTCGGGAGGCTTCTTGTCGCCACGGTCGATTCCGCTTCGAAATTCTGGCCAGGACGTATCTTTGGAGGGGTCTGAAGGGGGGGTGAATGCTGAGGGTCGCCATCAAGGATAGGCGCAGGCCCAGATCTCTGAGTTTTGCAACTCAAGATGGGTTGGTTTTTCAGCCTACGGGGGTCCTCGGCGGGCCCTGGGGCCGTCAGAGAACGACTCGGGATGAAGATCCGGGAACAGGTCCAGACCTCTGGGGCCCCGTGTTGAGAAAACTCGAAACGTCGGATGTCTGGGAGGAGTCCGTCGCCAGGCACGAGTGTCGGAGGTTCGAGCCGTTCTGGGCCTGCTGTGCGTCTCGAAGGTCTGGTCAGGTTGGAGCCTGGGGGGATTGCCACGGATTTGAGCGGAGTCGGAGTGGATTCGGAGGGAGTGCCACGGAGGAAAAGAGTCGGCGCCAGCAAGGCTGGAAGAACAACAAACAATATACCGAAACGCAAGTGTTGGAGGTCCGCGCGGATTTCCTGGATCTGCGCTGGGCCCCCCTGGCCGCTCCTCACGGGCTCCGCGCGCCAGGGAAGCAGGGCCCAGCGCCGTCCGAGGACACCGCGTGGACCTTCGAAGGCGCACGTTCACGAAGTTGTTTCATCTAAGAGGGCAGTCGCCAGGAGTCAGCACCACCGATCGCCTGGCTCCTCCTCCTCCTCCCTCCCTCTCTCAGTCGTTCCTCCGTAGCCACTTTGGCTCCAGGCTCCAGGCTATATTATAGTGTATTACATCATAATGTATGATGGTGCGTTGTATTAGAACATATTATATTATAGTACATTGTATTATAATGTACCATATGGTTTCATAGCACACTGTGTAACACTTCAATTTGTTATTCGAAATTTTAAGATACGACCGTATGTTATGGTATATTATGCGATATTCTGATATCGTGTGTTATATGGTAGTGCCGTGTATTTAGTATGTCCATCAGCATTAGATTAATATTTGCTATTAGTATGGTTATTATTATTCGTATTATTATTACTACTACTTTTTTATTATTATTGTAAGTATCATTATTCGTATTATTATTATGAGTATTACTGTCTCCGTCTCTCCCCTCTTCTCCTTCCTTCCTCGTCCTCCCCCGAGCCAGGCGGCGCCGCTTCCCGCCGCCGGCGCGGACAGCGAGCCGGAGCCGATGCCAACAGGCGCCTTGGCCCTGGCGGCGGCCGCCCTGCCCGCGGCGGTACTTCGCCGCCTGCCGCCCATCAGTTGGCTGACGAGGAGGGATGAGGGAGTGGGGAGAAAAGGGAGGAGGGAGGGAGGAGGGAGGAGGAAACACGAAGGAGGGAGGTGAGAGGGAGGGGGGATGGCACAGGAGGAGGAAGGGGAGGATGAATGAGGAGGAGGAATGGAGATGAGGGAGGAGGGGGGAAGCGGAAAAGGTAGATGAGGAGGAGGGATGGGCGGGGAGCTAGCAGCCTTCAGCCCATCCCTCCACCGTGCCTGGGTTGTGGGTCAGAGTTCTCAGGACTGCTTCTTGGGATGTCTTTGGGGCGCTCTCGGAGGCTTCTTGTACGCAGTTGGGGCCTCTTGGGATCTACTGGGGGGTCTCCGAACCGAGGGTTCGAAATGTCCGGTCGGGTTCCCCCCTCTTGGAGCCGTTTCTGGGTTCTCTTGGGCCGTCTTGGGCGCTCGCTGAAGGAGGAGGAGGGGGATGAGGAGGAGGAGGAGGAGGAGGAGGAGGAAGAGGAGGAGGAAGGAGGAGGAGAGGGAGGAGGAGGAGGAGGAGGAGGAGGAGGAGGAAGAGGAGGAGGAGAAGAAGAAGAAGGAGGAAGGAGGAGGAGGAGGAAGGGGGAGGAGGAAGAGGAGGAGGAGGAAGGGGAGGATATTCTTGCAGATCTGAATTCACCAGCGCTCTCCGAGTTTTTCCCAACCATCCTTTGAGACAGCGCCCCGCGTCACACTCCTCCCCCTCCTCCCTCGTCCCTCCTCCTCCCCCTCCTCCCAGTACAGCGTTTTCTGGCCCCATGGGGAGCTCCGCCGAAGGCCCCAGTGCAACCGCCTCCATGCGTCACCCACACCCTTTTCGGCACACCCCTCACACGGTTCGTGGCCCCATAGGGAGCTCCACCGAAGGCCCCAGCGTCACCGCCCGCATGCGTCACCCACACCCATTTCGTCTCACCCCTCACACGTTTCGTGGCCCCATGAGGGAGCTCCACCGAAGGCGCCAGTGACACCGTACGCATGCGTCACCCACACCCATTTCGGCATACCGCTCACACGTTTCGTAGCCCCATGGGGAGCTCCACCGAAGGCCACAGTGCCACCGACCGCATGCGTCACCCACACTATGTGTGCACACCCCTCACACGTTTCGTGGCCCCATGAGGGAGCTCCACCGAAGGCCACAGTGCCACCGCCCGCATGCGTCAGCCACACCCATTTCGGCACACCCCTCACACGTTTCGTGGCCCCGTAGGGAGTTCCACCGAAGGCCACAGTGCCACCAGTCGCATGCGTCACCCACACCCATGTCGTCACACCCCTCACACGTCTCGTGGCCCCACATGGAGCTCCACCGAAGGCCCCAGTTCCACCGCCCGCGTGCGTCACCTACACCCATTCCGTCTCACCCCTCACACGTTTCGTGGCCCCATAGGGAGCTCCACCGAAGGCGCCAGTGCCAACGCCCGCATGCGTCACCCACACCCATTTCGGCACACCCCTCACCCGTTTCGTGGCCCCATGGGGAGCTCCAACGAAGGCGCGAGTGCCGCTGCCCGCATGCGTCACCCACACCCATTTCGGCACACCCCTCACATGTTTCGTGGCCCCGTAGGGAGCTCCAGCGAAGGCCCCGGTGCCACCGTCCGCATGCGTCACCCACGCACATTCCGGCACACCCCTCACATGTTTCGTGGCCCCATAGGGAGCTCCAGCGAAGGCCCCGGTGCCACCGTCCGCATGCGTCACCCACGCACATTCTGGCACACCCCTCACACGTTTCGTGGCCCCATAGGGAGCTCCACCGAAGGCGCCAGTGGCTGCGTTCGCATGCGCCCACCGCACCAATTTCGGCACACCCGTCACACGTTTTGTGGCCCCATAAGGAGCTCCACCGACGGCCCCAATGGCTGCGTTCGCATGCGCCCATCGCACCTGTTTCGGCACACCTCTCACGCGCTTCGTGGCCCCATAGGGAATTCCACCGACGGCCCCAGTGGCTGCTTTCGCATGCGCCCGCCAGACAAATTTTGGGCACACCCCTCACACGTTTCGTGGCCTGGAGCTCCTCCGAATGCGGTGCACACAACGACGGTGCTCACAACTGCATATGGTTGGGTCCTTCGCCAGGCTAATTTCTTGCAGAGAGGTCGCCAAAGTGCGATCAACAAGACAAAGCATGAGAGGATTCGGAGGGAATGCCCTGCTGGGCGTCGGCCATCCATCTGGCCGCGCAGCTCCGCGGGGCCAGCAGGCCGAGTGCAGCAGGGCGAGCGGGCCAGCATGTCGCCGTGAAGGAAAGTGGGTGCCGAGGGAACAGGGCTGCCCTGGTACGCACTTGCATTAACGCAGCATGTGCCTTGTTCAGCACGCATCACGCACGCGTTGGCCCACGTTTTGGTACACGTATCACGTCAGACCTACGTGTTCCACCTGCGTGTTGAGCTCCGTGTCAACGCGCTACGAGGTGCGCGTCGCGTATCGGGGCAGTTACGGTCCTGGAGGTTGATTCATTTCTCCCTACCCTCTCCAGGCCACAGCACCGTCAACAAACAACAGCGCAGCACGGAAAGGCAGTCCCGAGATCCAGGACCCGTTGTTCTCCTGACACTTTCGTTTCATGGCGAGACGTTCGGCTACACGTTCGAGTTACTTTTCGCCAGAGTGACAGTTCGGACGTTTTTAGACGTTGTCGTCGGCGGCTCCTGGGGATTCTCTTGCCTCGGGATGCGTTCCAGCAGCTGCGCCTGGGCCGCGCCCAGGCACTCAGGACGGAGGAGGAGGAGGAGGAGGGCGGAGGAGGAGGAGGGAGGAGGGAGGAGGAGGAGGAGGGAGAGGGAGAGGAGGACGAGGAGGAGAGGAGGAGGAGGGAGGAGGGAGGAGGAGGGAGGCGGGAGGAGGAGAAGGGAGGAGGAGGGAGGGAGGGAGGGAGGCAGAGGAGGGAGGAAGGGAGGAGGAGGGAGGGAGGGAGGGATGAGGAGAGGAGGAGGAGGAAGAGGAGGAGGAGGAGGAGGAGGAGGAGGAGGAGGAGGAGGAGGAGTAGGACTCGCGCCGCTGTCGCGTCGCGCGCAGCGATCGACGGGCCGCGCACCAGCCGGCGTGGCAGCCGAGGGCCGCTGCCTCGGCCGCCGTGGGCCACCCCGGCGGCGACGGAGAGCCGCTCGCCCCCCGCTGGGCGGGCCGAGGACACGTCGCTCTGGAGCGCTGCGGGGTGCTCCGGACCGGCCGCGGCGCCCGACACCTCCTCCTGACCCGTCGGATCCCGTCTCCACTTCCTCCACTTCCTTCCTCCTTCCTCCTTCCTCTTCCTCCTTCCTCTTCCTCCACTGCCCTCCGCTTCCTCCACTTCCGCCACTTCCTCCTTCCTCCTGGCCGCCTGGCCCTTCCTCCACTTCCTCCCTGGCCCGTCCGACGTCGTCATCGTTCTCGTCCAGATCCTGCAGCCATCTCAGCTCACGAGGCCCCCTGTGGCAGCCCGGGGGAGGGACGGGCTGCGGCGGCGCCGCAGAGCGGACTGGCGCGAAGGGGGGCGGCCTTCCAAGGGAGCAGCGGGATCCTCGAAGCCCACGGTGCCTGCCCTCTGAGAGGCCCGTCTCAGAAGCCCCTGGCCCCTCCTCGGGAGCCCACCTGCCTCGTCTGGGCCGCGGCAACGAGGCCAGCGTTTGTTCTTGTGTCCTTAGTTGTGGCGCTAATTCTAAGGTTGAGTCGGGCCTGTTCCTCTACAGGGGGGAATATTCAAGCATAGTCAAAAAGGAGTCTGGGGATTGTTTTTCCAGCATGTTTTGACCATGTTGGAGCATGTGTTGAGCATTCTTACTTTTGTCGTCCAACATCCCCCTGTTGGGGGGACAGGCCCGACATACTTCCAGGGTCGCTTCCGAGACCCTTGGGCTGCTGGGGCGGCCGGCTCCTGCTCGAGGCAGGCTGCCCCTCCCGCCCCGCCCCGCTCCTGCGGCCAGCGCCCATGGATCCCATGGAGGGCGCCCCGGCCGCGCTGCTCGGTGCCCGGTCCGCGCTGTCTGCCCACCCGCCGGCCCGCAAGGGTCGGTATCGTTTATCCGACCCCCATCCCCATCCTCATCCCCTTCGAGGCCCCAACCAAATTGCCACCCCACTCGGGGATGCGCCCCTCGAAGCCAAGAGGGAACGGCCCAGCTCCCCATCCAAGGGGGTAAATCGGCCAGTAGGGCCCAGGCCGCGCCGGTGGGGATGGGGATCGGATAAACGATGCTCAAAGTGGGGGGCCAAGAGGGCAAGGCCTCACAGCAGGATGGGAAAAGACACACAGACACAATGAATCGTCGATTCCCAAGAAGGTCTAGGTCAAGGTCAAGCCTGCATGCCCGCGAAGGGGCGGCGGCTTAGGGCACAGGCGGGTGAAAACCAGCAGACGCTCACGTGGTGAAGAACATCTCCTGTCATACAATTCCAAGAGACTCTGGGTCTCTGGTTGCCACTCTCCAGTCGCCGATTCCCCAGAAGCTATGGGGAAAGATGGGAAGCGGGGGGGAAGATGAAAACCCAGAAGATATGGGAAAGTATGGGAAGCGGGGGGGAAGACGAAAACCCAGAAAATATGGGGACGTATGGAATCGGGGGGGAAGGCGAAAACCCGGAAAATATGGGGGACGTATGGGGAATCCTGTTCTTTGTGTCTGTTTCTCTGTGTGTCCCGGGGCCCCTTTCCTCACGGCAGGCACGCCGAGAGCCAGAGGCACGGCTGCCGGCAGGTGGCGCTCGGGGGGCGGGCGGCGTGAGGCAGCGTCGGTGGGCCTCAGGTCGGGCCTGTCCCTCCACGGGAGGAACGTTCAAAGATAGCAAAAAAGTGTAGTCAGGGCGCGGTTGTTTGACAATTGTAACTCATTTTTTGGGGGCATGTTTAAAACTACATATTTTCAATTTTCTGACCGGAATCCGCCCGCAGGAGGACGCGCCCGCC